CATAAAAAGCCTTAATGAGTTTTTCTGTTTATTTATTTTTTTTACAATTCCATTTTAAAATTTTAATGTGCATACATTTTTCTGGTTTTTCAGCTTTCTTAATTACACTGAAAAATTTTTCAAAACACATAAAATATATCCCTTTGCTAAACATTTTTGTTCTTAAATTACAAAAAAATGACAGTCACAATGTTAAGTACATTAATCTAAATCATTTTTATCCATCAAATTCATTTCATCATGTAGAATGCTGAGCCTAGAAAATATTATATTCCATAAATATAATCATCCCACTAAAATAAAGCAAAGATTGGAATGGAATGGGTTTTCAAGTAAAATACAGGTATAATTTGGCAGAATGATTGTAGAGTTTTAGTCTACCTACAACAGGGGTGTCAAACTCAGTCAGATCCGGCCAGCATGACCCTCCTGGAAACAATAAGGGGCCAGTCCATGTTGCTTCAGCCTTGCCTATGCCATCCTGACAGGCGCAGGCGCACAGGACGGTGCAGGCACATGTGCCGGGATAGGGTGGCCTAGGCCTGTGCATATATGCACCTGCCACCTGTGTGTATGCATGCCAGCCAGGAGGGTATGTGCCAGGCAAGAGCGACATGGGCAAGTCCCTTAGCTGTTTTAGGAAGACTGCACTTACCGGCTTTCAGGTGCGTGTACATGTGGGGTGTCCGGCAGCAGGGGCTCTGCAGCTGGCCCTCCAAGAAACAAGTGTGGCGGCACTGGCAGCAGGCAGAATTGTGGGGGAGGCATGTGATGCACACCACTGGAAATGCCTGCACCATTCCACATGGCTGGGACAGGTAGCTGCCTGGTGCATCCAGCATGCCTCTCCCCTGCACCTCTGCCACAGGCTACTGCCACGGGCTAAGAAAGGTGAGAAGGGTGTGGGGTGGTTACTGCCAGACACCATCAGCCCACCTACTCTGTCCAATCTGTTTTTGCTTGCCATTGGAGAACAAGTCACCGGTACTCATCTCAGCCCCCTCTCAGGTCTTGTGCTCTTGGCCTGCACATGGACCACATTCTTCTCACACACCTGATGCAGCTCAACACCACTATGGGCTGCCAGCAGCTCACACAGGTCTACTAGGCCACTGCCATCATCACCTGTGATTGCGTGTCTTCCCCTATCTCTGATGGGCATTGGCGACCATGGCACCAATGGGGATTCAGCTTTCCTCACTCACAGTGGCTGTCTTTTGCCTGGGCCTGGGCATGCTCTACCACCCCTACTCAGCCTTTCTAGCTGGCCGCTTCACCTTCTTTGGGCTGGGTGGGTCTGCTGAGTGGCAGTAGTGGCAGCCCACAGTGGGGCCAAGGTGCATCGGGTATGCGAGGAGAACACGCAGGCTAAGGGCAAGACCTGCAAAGGGGCCGAGATGACAGGTCTCCAACCGCAAGCCAAAACAGACAGTGGGATGGAATAAGCGCATCCAGCAGTCTGCATGGACAGCCAACCCAGTGGTGGGTTTCAGAGCCACAGCGTGTGCCAGCTAAGGGAACAGCAGACTGCAACTACAACCAGAAACCAACTCACCCATCCCCCGTACACAAAGGGCAGCAAGCACAGGGTGGCAATCGGTTTCTGGCTATAGCTGCCCTGCCCCTGCCTCACCTCACCCCATCCTGCGGGACAAACCTCCCAACCCCCGTCCCACCCACTGGAAATCCCTGAATTCCCTCCCCAACCCAGCCCAATCCCCACAGGTACCGCCCACATGATTGATGTCAAGCTGACCACATCCCCGAGCCACGGTCATTCAGCCACCCCGACCATGCCCCTCCTTTCCCAACAGCAGACAACTACAACACTCAATGAAATCGAGTTTGACACCCCTGGCCTACAACATCTCTTTAAAAGAAAACAAAGTAAATTGAGAATGTGCAAATGTTTGTAAAATGCAAACTGCAATAGTGCATGTACAAAGGGCAAAAGTACTAAAATGGGCTTTGTAGATTTCTAGTGCTTCATTATCAAAAATAACAATCAAACCTCAGAGAAAATACATACAATGACTACTTTACTTTCAGCACTTGACAGTTCTTGATAAAAAACCATTTCACTATTGCTTGGAATCCAAGACCACTTGTCATGTGCTGCTGATTTTAGATTGTAATTAAGACGAATCCTTTTCATGGGCATTGATAAGTAATGAAACAAGATCTTAGATAATTTGAATTGGAATATTTCATTAAAAACATTATATAATTGTTAGCTACAATTGGAAATAAGGTGTTAGAATCACCCCAAAAATACTGCCTAATTCGGTAAAGGAAATTTTAGACTACACAGTTGTAAAACTTAATAATGCAATTAATATATCTTGGAATTTTGAAATTATATGTTGTTGACTTAGTACCAGGCAAAGAACATTATGGAAATTTATATTGCTCTATTAGCAACAATTTTTTTCTGAATTTTACCTGAATTTATATTTTCCTATAAATGTTTTCAGTTAGATTTTAACTGAGACAGTCATTTAAAAAAATACAGATGTTTCCTCCATTGGGGATGAGTGAAGGAGTGAGGCTGGGTATTTGGTTTTGTTTAACAACACTCCTTCAAGATCTTTAATATATAATAATGAAGTTATAGTCTTGTTCATTTTCAACGTTTTGGTGTATAGCATCATTATTTTTAAGGTAGTCTTTCTCAGCTTGTATTGCTCCATATGTGCTGGACAATTCTTCCAATGCCCCAAATGACCAAAACTCAAACTAACCCAAATACTAATTTGGAAAATATAGACTAGTATATCTGGAGAAACCTGCTCTAAATATTAATAATAAACTCCGTAACAGAATAGATTAATGGAGTATTATTTCATATGCATTCATCTAGAAGGGATGTTATGTAAGCCTTAGCTAGGTTTTGCTAACACAGTGGAACTTTTTCTTCTCAAATAAATAAAGAGAGATACCATTTGATACCTCTGTTGAGATTGGCAAGACTTCATTTGCAGTCTAATAACACAAGGCATAAAATCCACTCCAACTCTATCATATGCAGAAATTGATACAGTTCCTTCAACAGTGTATTGTTCTAGAAGACCAAATTCTTTGCAGGGGTTTATAAATAGCTGCTACTTACGTTCATCTGGATATTACTCAAAGACATATATAAAATATACTTCTTGGGAGGGCAGGAGAGAGACTCATTGTTGATTCAAAGCAATCTTTTGAACAAGATCAAAACTTTGAAGAAGCTCTGCAGCAATAGAAATGGAAGGAAACTTAAATGTCAGCTTAAATTTCTGAATTTTGTTAGGTGAGTCAATGTTGCTTAGTTTTGCATTGGATTGACATAACTACATTTTTTTAATTGTCCTGACTAGGGCTTTTGGTATTTCCAGGAAGTATTTGGTAGCCGCTACAATGTTATTAAGACAGAACTATTAGAAAGATATTTATAATTGGTTTCCATGTGTTATTTTGATACAAGGATGTCACTACTACTGCACCTGGAAAAACACATGGCAGTCAATTCTAAGACTACTTTTGAAAATATTGCTAATGGATATATTATTGCGGGGAGGGTGTCAAAGGATAGATTGACAAAAGCAATGTTACACTGTCATGATGCAAATCCTATCCCTTTTATACATATGGCATAAGATCACATCTACAACCAAAAGAGGTGGATTTTGTGGCACAACTGCATGATGCTTTCACAACTGATGAAAAACAGGAAGCTTCTACAGATACCCATGTTTTTCTTTATGCAAATTAAGTAGTAACTGCAAAGAACTAATGTAACACTGGAATTGAATCTGTGTTTTCTAGTATTAGATTACTGTAAAACTAGCAATTATAGAAAAAGAGTAACTACACAGAATGTAATAGTGATGAATACATACAATTCCTGCTATTGACTATTCTGATTCATTTTTATGCCCAGGTGTCTAAAAAGGCTGTAATAAAATACAATGTGTCAATGTGATAGAGCAGTGGTCCCAACCTTTCCAGCTCCACAGACCAGCAGCAGTGGCGCAGGCAGGGAGAGGATGGTTTCGCGTGCAGAATCTAGTTCCTGTGCATACACAAATGAAACTTCACACGTTTGCCTGTCATTTGTGTGGCTCAGTTCTCAATGAGCCACAGACCAATACTGGTCCACAGTCTGGGGATTGGGGACTCCCGTGGTAGAGCAACATAAAAATCAAACATGTATTTTTAATTACCTAGTGAGACAATTTGCATTTAAAGAGGGTTTTGGTGGTGGAAGTGAGGAATATGTAAAAGAAAAATGAAGACAAACAACACAACAGCACATTTTTCCATATACATGCTACATTAGAAAGTGATGATGAACCAGTGACAGTATTTTACCCAGAAAACACCGATTTCACATATGAGAATGAAATGAAACTGAACATCAATAGCAACCCACATTAAGAATTACCTGAACTGAAAAGTATACACTGTGAATGCAGAAATACATTGTGTAATATCCACATCCAGATTTCCTTACAGAGTTGAAAAGACTATACACTATGAAATGTTGTTTATAACAGTTTCATGAAGCCTACTATAAAATACATTATTGCATACATATTTAGAGATGTCATAGGTTAATTATCTTTTGAACTGTTCAGTTATGGATTCAAACTTATTTACTACCCTACCAAGAGAAACATTTGTATTGATGCAAAGACAGTATATGAAATGCCTGCCCCACAAAAAATATCAACTTAAAACACTGAAGATGGGAAAATGTTAAAGAAAAAAGATATGAAAACATATAGAACCATTTCCTTCTTATGCTTAAAGCTTCTTTTTTGGAAAATATTTAAAATATTTCAGATCTCTCAAAAGTTGATCTCTTATTTTCCAGCCATATCATTTACTTTTTAAATGATATAGAACATGCTACTAGATTTCTTGATTGAGAAGATAATACCTGAGGAATCCAACTCAAGCATCTAATTCCAGAAGAGGTGGCTTGCATTATGTATATATATTTATGAATACTTTGCTTGAGTAAGTTTCTTACTGGAATATTTATTCTTATCTATTTTGATATTTTATTAATATTGGCAATTACAAACAAACTAATGAAGCTTATTGTTCATAAATTCTTGTTATACTATATGGATTTATAATTTACACTTTTACCCACTGCATCTTGGCAACGGATTACAATAGAAGCAGTAAAAGAAATTAATGCTCAAAGAGTACAGTAGGAAAATGGGAGAAGCTTATTGTTCTAAAGGAATGTTCTAATATTCACTAGCATTAAATAGCTAAAGAAAAAACAAGACAAACATTTATACAGTACATCCAAATAAACAGTATTTGTAAGAAAATTCTTTCAATAGGAATACCATTGAAAGAGGAGACCAAAGCATTTAATGCATGAAAAATCTGATAACAAGTAAATATTAACTAAAATAATCTCCCAGTCTGCTACATCATAGCTACACATTTGACAAAAAGATAACACAAAAATAGATTTACCACCCAATGTTTCTCTATTCTCTTAGGCAATTTTATTGACAGGTGCTAGACTGAAACCAGAAAAAAGTTAATTTCACCACCCAAAAAGTTAATTTCACCATAGAAAAATCTATACATACAAAAAACTTCCATTCATTACAGTGAAGAGGAAAAAAAGCTTGAATTAATATGCATAAGCAAAACTCTAGAACCTCTCCACTGAAACATCACTACCTTCAAACAATACCTAAGTAGATACCAGCTTTTCTAACTTTAGTAATTATAAATTAAGTGTCTTCTAAATAAAAGTAAGCTAGCACAGAAATTGGGAAAATAAAGGCTGCCTATCCAGTTTCAATTATGGTCTTCCCAATTCACATCTCATTTAGCATTCTAGGCTACATTAAACTGGGAAAAATAAATTAAATTAGATCACAACAGTGTCCTCACCAGGAGGAACATTAAAAAGAAAGCACTAAATATACTAGCAGCACTGAAGTTCTGGTCTTGATATGTACCAATAATATAAGCTAAGGGAAGCTGCAACCTCTAAGAGATGTGCAAATCAGCCCTTGCTTTCAGGTATAAAGAGATCAGGTTACTCAAGCTTAAGAGAATGTTTGAACCATTACTTTCATTTATCAAAGGACTGTCTTTTTCAAAGGATCTTGTTAATAATCAAACATTTCCTGTACCAGCACTGATGCTGCTTTTACAAGAGTTTATTTCCATGTATTAAAGGAATGACATAGACCGAAATGTCATCTCCTGAGCCCAGTCGGTCATTGGATATCCTCCAGCCTCTGTCCTTCAGCACTCCCCTAGCTCGCATTACCAAATCCTGAGCTGCTAGTGTGTACCTGTAAGCAAAGAAGGAAAAGCCAATATTGAAAACTGCTGTCAAAAAGGATCTTTATTGTTTGATAGAATGGCCCATATTAATCACCATAAATTTGCTTTATTAACATTCAGATTTTGCTACCTTATTCATAGTCCTCAGCCAGGACCAAATGTTCTGACTATTTTGAAAAATGTTATAAACTCAACAGATAAGAACATAGTTTGCACACAATTTCCAATGTGGAAGAAAAAAGTATTCCAATCTAAACATTGCAAAGCTATTTACCCTTGGAATCTTGAGCAAGGTAAGACATGTCTTACTAGGCATTAGGAAACGTAATTATGATTACATGAGGCAAAGCTGCAAACCTGAAGTGCCCAGATTAAACTAGAGAAGATACTGAGAGATCTGTTATTACATTTCCTACTACCAGTATATTAGAGATATCCAAACTGCAGTGGGGTTTAAATGCTACAAAAGAAGAGAACTGAATCTTTTCTCCATTTTGGAAAACATGTATTATTAATACAAAGTATCTATTCTTTGTCTAATGTCTGTAAACTTTATTTTTTTTCTCAAGAGGAAAGAGACCAGGAAGAGACCATTTATCCTGCATCTTATAGCAGAAGACCAAAGAATAATTTACACTGCAAGAGGCAACTAATCTGGCATAACTAAATTAGAGATATACTGATATATATGTAGCAGAGTATTCATCTGTTTCAGATATTCTGGGCTTTATTTCCCACAGTTTCTATTCTTGCCTATACTAGTTGAAGCCAACAAATTCAAAGCATCTGGAACAAGCCAAATTGCTTACTTGTGATCTAGAATAAGTATAACCAATACAGTGGAACTACCGATACAAAATGCTTGTAATCTTTCATCTTTTAAATATGGTTGCTTTAAGTGTAGTGAAAATTAAGAAACATAGTAAGGAATTCTCAATAGTTAAAATAAAAATATACAATGTTATAGAAGAAACAACACTAAAATTAAACAAGAGCAAGCAAATGGTAGTAAAAAAAACTGATAGAAAATATGTAAATAATGAAAATCTAAATAATGAAAAATAAGAAAAGCATGTAAATAATGAAGGCTGCTTTTCTTTCTTGGCAATGCATGAGCAAGATGTTCTGAGTAATCTGAGGATTAATATCAATAAAAACATTACATCATGCTTTCTCCTCTAATGTAGTGAATTTGAGATGCAACTTTTAAAGCAACTTTACAAAATTGCTGAAGTATCTTTCAAGCAATCAGTCGTCCCTAATGAAGTACCTAATTGGTATAGCACTTCAGAATATACATTTGCTTCTCCCTTAAATTTATTGATCGTGGAACCACTGCAAAGACAACAAAAGGCACTTCAGGCAAGCAATCTGAAGTGACCATTTTTATTTATTCCCTTGAAAAAGAAACACCAGTGCAAACAATAATAAGGGGAAAGCAGAAAGAAAAATGAGATACATCTCTCATTTGAACTCTCCTTAAGATCTACTCCTATAATATCACTAATAAGTGACAATATACAAGTAGATCTTAAGGACAATTTAAGAAAAAAATTGACCAAAAGATATACTCAAATTTCAGAATACTATATTGGTATCTTGAGCAAGGTTGTTGCTTTATTGACACCTAGGATATCTTTTACTAAATAAGATTGTGGACCTCATCAAGTGTGTTTCTGCACATGAGCATATCTGTGTATTTGTGCATGCATGCATGCATATGTATGCATACATACAGGCAATGATATTGACAAGAACATCATTTAAAATAGTTTATCAGAAATAACACTGTGTTTGGATGAAATAAAAGAAGTTCACAAATCTAAAAGAAGGCATGTGAACAAGTGATCTAGTTGAAAATTTGCAGAAATATCTCTTACATCTAAACCATTTCTCTTGTTTTCAAATCTAATAACTGCCTTGAGGTACAGTACTTGCATATAATACTTAACACTCTTACTTTGTTTGGTAATAACTAGTCTAGGTTCTAGGTAGTTTATTAAAGCTGGATGTTTACTAGGAACTAAATTTAAGTGTGCATTGCAGTACAAAATCTACCAAACAGAATCTTGTACAATTTATTCATTTTGATATACATTAGGATTACAAAAGTGCTCAACTGTCAGTATACCTTTTCAAGATCTGAAGTTATGAATCAATTCAGATATTATGTCCTGTTTAATATCCCTTTCCTACCCAAACTGACATTTATTACAAATTCACATACAAGAACTATTAACAAGATGTTTGTTTATATTCTAGGATTTATATGTGCTTGCATTTTTCTGAATATGACCATACAATCAGTCCATCAATCACTGCTATATGCAGACATTCATATTTGTCTTTTACAAAGTGAGTGAATATCAGAAATGGAAAGCAGATCAGTTTAAATGTTTTTAAAAAATGATCTTCTTCCCTACAGGGCATAGGATACCTTTGATCGGCTTTTAAGCAATAGCTGAAGTTCCTAAATCTATGCTTCACAAAAGCGCACCTCTTTTCAGGATTCAGAAATCAGTAAAATTTGCTTTGGTTCAACCTGAACTGACTCCATCACATTTTTGTTTACAGTCAATTTTTTATTTGCATATATTTGTATTCACTTTAAAATTTTAGAGCTAAAATTAGCCTCTTGTGAAATACAATACAAAAACCATGCTGAAAATGCTTTTTGTTCTAAGTGGTAAGCAAATATTATAACAAAATACCCTCAATATTATCCTCAGGAAAAAGCAGGACAATTTCAAAGATAGTTTACAGAAGAGAGGTTACATGCCTGTGTGGATCATCAGGGTCACAGTTTGGCAGGAAATTAGTGATGGCTTCTGCTACTTCTTCATTTAATAATACATCCCAGAGTCCATCAGTAGCTAAGGTGAGTACATCATCTGGTCCATGTTCATACTGGAGAAGATCATAAACTCTTACCTGAAAAATAATCCATGGAATGGGAAAAGATAAGAGCTTTTAGGGAATAGCCATTATGTCTACCTGTTTCTAGACCTTTTTCCATTATCAATAAATGAAAATTTGGGCCTATAATTATCTTCCAAATGAAACTGTCCCCAGTCTGTTCCAATTTACTTTCCTCTGGATGTTTTGTAGTCTAATCCTCATAATTTCAAGTTGACTTAAGGTAGGGGAAATAGTCCAAATCAAAAAGAAAACACAGTTCTTCCTGGAAGAACGGAAGAAAAGCCATACTTCCCTTTGAAAGAATTCAGGGACCAGAATCTATAAAAAAACAAAACAAAAAAACCCTTTCACCTCAAAAATAAATTTATCAGGAAAACATTACGAAGTTTAGATTTCACATACTTCCATGTTGAAAAAATAGAGACTAATTTAAAATTATTCTTACATGCAGATTATATTTATGTTTTTCAATTGTCTGTTTTGTAAAACACTAGCTTCTAATTGCCTACACATATTCCTGGCATTGTCAAATCACCTGATTCCTTGATTTAAAAAAAATCATTGAATTATCAAGGATTTTAATTACTTCATCGCTGACTATTTTTAAAGAAGTGCAGTAACCTTACCACAGCAGGTAAGAGGAAATTACCATTTAGACCAGGATTCAGAAAAACATGTACCTGGTCTATAATATCACATTAACCTTGTAGTTGACAGTTGGCAGCTTGGGATATGTTTTGACAATGCAAGAAAAGGGCCATTCATGATATTTTGTGTTTTGTTCATATTTAAAATCTAGGACAAAGAAACAGAATTTCAACACTTTAAGAAGTTTGGTTTCAATACTTATTGTTTTCCTGTTAAATAACCCCAAATAAAGTTTAAAAGAATTATCATTTTAATTGATCTGCTGAAATGGGAAAATCAATGAAGTATTTAAATTCTGATGAACTAGTCAGTCATATCCAACTCTAGGGCACAATGCTCATATGTGTTTTTTGGCTGAGGGAGTCAGCATTGTCCAAAGACAATTTCTGTGGTCATGTGATCAACATAGCTATATGCCAAAGGCACATGGAATGCTGTTATCTTCCACCAAAGTAGTACCTATTAATTTACTCGCATATAATTATTCAATCCTCATTAAAAGTATCAAAATGGTGGAACTATAATCCAGAAGTTGGAAAGCTCACTACTAACACACATAACTTGTATATTTTCTCCCCTTCAAGAATCTATTTAGTTTCCTAGAACCCTAAAAGACACCATACTGAGGACATATTTGCTTTAGCCTTTTTATAGCAGTATAGTGTTAACATGCTGACTAATGCAAAGTTGCCCAAGAACCTTCATTTCAATGCAGTCTTTATTTAAAGGATTTATGAAGTTTGGACACAGGAAAAACAAAAACCAACACAAACCAGGAAAGTGAAGGGATCTAATAATGTGATTAAGCTGCAACATCTTGGAGAATTGTGTTATAGCTTTTAGCTTTCTAATGAACCCTGCATAAATAGTGTATATGCAATATCTAAATGCTATTCTGCAAGGCAAAATTGGGTCATTTAATCTCTTGGACCAATAGGAAGTGAATTAAGAGGTCAAAAATTAGTACCAAATATTCAACTCATTTAAAACAAATTACTAAATTTGTGGCATTTGAAAACATCAACCAAGTTATAATTAGATTTATTAAAACAAGTGATTGGTAATATTTGCTTCATTTGTTTCATTAAGTAAAAGCTAAACATATTGTATATAATCACAGGGTCATAAACAAAGCTGCCTTAAATTGACTCCATGTAGAGAAGATAAAGAAGAAACCACTTACACTGATGGCATGCTTTTGATCACCTAGTAGGCAATTGGGAGTATCATGTCTTAGAGGCAAAAAACTGTAATATGTTTCTTAATAGTTCACTGATTCTAGGTCATTCTTGGCAGAAAACAATTTATAAAAATAGAATTTCTTCATCTTTTGCCCACCCTTTCAACCTTAAAACATCAGTTTCAATAGCCTGAAGGAATTGCTGCTCCTAGAAAAAGCTGTGATGTTTTTGACTAGCCTTCTATATTATGTGTATATATGTCAGAGCCTTTCAAGGCATTTAGCTCCACATTTTAAAAAAAGAAATGGGCTTTCTAAATGACTTCATATCTATTTATTTACATATGTCTTCCTTTTCAATTGGAAAGACTCATAAAGATTTTCAGATAAAAACAACACTAATATCATTTTTTTAAAAAAGGAAACAGATTATGTACGCAGATTTATAATAAAAAGGTGTGACTCGCTCACTTGCTGTTAATAGTTTTAGGTTAGAAAGCCTACACTATATAAGTCCCACTAAATATTTGGTTTGATCATCTGTTCCTTAAGTAATAATATTTCTTAACTCAGGTGTTTTTAAATCTTTTACAGGCACAATAATAATACAAAGAAAGTATATACATGTTTCATTGGCTTTTAAAGAAAATATTGGTTTAATTCATGTTCCCCTATAATAGATATATGAATGTTCTACCTCTGGTGAAGAGGACAAAAAAGGTTTGATGTAGATGTTCGAGTCATGCACTTTCAGGTCATGATCTCCAAGTCCTCTTGTAACCCCAATGGTTGCCATGACACGAGCCTAGGAAGAGATAAATATCATAAAAGCATGAGAAGACTGGAGAAGACTAGGGGAAAGATTCCTGAACAAGAAAAAAAAACCTTAAGTATACATAGTAAAAATGATAGAATTAGATATTATTGAATGGCTACCACTTTAAATAATTCCAAAGGAGCTATTTGTCCTAAGTGCTGTATGCTATCATTTGACATTAAGTAGCATACTTTAAATATCTACAGTTGATGAAAGCTGTCTTATATATTTAATCAGAACAAGGGCTAATTAAAAGTTTTCTTCTCAAATGTCAAGTAGATGTCAACTGACAGGACACTAGAAAAGAACATAAGCATGTCTTTGGCCATGTGGCTTTCCTCATACACACCTTACAGTTAAGTGTTTGCTACCACTAGGAGGAGTCAAAATTAGCTGTCAAAAATTCCTACTATAAACCGGTGGTTCTCAAACATTTGGTTTCAGCAGCCCTTTACCTTCTTAAAAAATGATTGAGACCCCAAGTGTTTTGATTTATGTGGGTTATATTTATCAATATTTACTGTATTAGAAATTAAAACTGAGTTTTAAAATATTTGACGTTGTGGATGTCTAGAGGCCCTCTGGCCATACTTCAAGAACCATTGATATAAACCAATATTCTTTTTTTGCAATCTAAAGAGAAAACAGAATTTGGGTCTTCTTTCAAAAAAATTGTCACTTTTTAACATCACTGTTATGAAACTGTAATCTCCAATTCCCCTAGATAGAGTGTGGAACTCTTCAGATTACTTTTCAGAGATACTAAATTCTTCTAAAATATGTAGCAAATAGGAAGAACTGTTACAGAGAAAAGTATACATACATAGGGGGAAAAAGGGTGCAGAAATACTGTTGAAAAAACAAAATTCTCATCAAAATGTACATGTAAGCTGTAGCAGAGCTGACCAGAACAGTCAGACCAATGCAGAAGTTCATATGATTAATTGAAATAAGCAATCAAGCCACTAGAGAAGGGCTTATAAATGTGATGAGCAAACAAAAGCAATCTTGAGATCACAGAGTCCTCACACTCCTCATAGATCCACATCTTCAGAATTATAGGGGTCAGTGCTAATAATTTATTTTCTAATTTTCTATTTGGCAATCGGTTGCTATTCTGACAGAATTATTTCTCAGTTTTTGATCCACATCCCTGAAAGAAAATTTTATTCCAAGAATGAACTGTGAATGCAGCCCAAAAAAATCCCTAGTAACTAGAAATTCAATAGGCATCCTTATTGCCCTAAACTTATTTGATCTCTACAACTCTCCAAAATTGCACAAATCCAAAAAGTTTATTTTTCCCAGTTTAAAAGATCACTTACAAACTGTACAATCAAACTGCAGAACTGCCTATCCAAACTTTTTTTTTCTTTTCAAAATCTCTCTATCCTAAACTGCCTTCAAATGCATACTTATATAAAGCAAACAAAAATCAAAATAAAACAGTTCAGCAATAAAAGTAATGAAACTTGCTTTTTTCTGTAACAGGCTTCTTGTTTGTCATGGAACACAGGAACTGAATTATTAGAAACAAAATACTATTTTAAATTGTCAGAAAAATAAAATAAAGTGAAGAAAGTAGAAAACTCCAAACAACTTGGGGCTAAATTGAGTAGTAAATATGATGCAGCATTCAGGTTCCTTTCACACAAGGTTTATTCCTACCTTCTTGCCTTCTCCATATATAAGGGGAAACTTCAAGTCATCCTCTTCAATGGTTTTGTATGCCCTGCGGAAGGAATAACATAATTTTATAAAACTTGGACTCAAGTATCAATCCAGTCCTTTAACACTGTTTTCTGCCTGTTCTCTTTTCTCTGTGTATTCATTTGCTTCATCTTTGCAACATATTCCCATGTTTTTCTCTCCTCTTTTAAGCCCCTCCCCTAGCTTATACAGCTTGTACAAATATAAGGAGTGTGATGAAAATTTTACAAATAAAAATATATTCTTTGGTATAATAAAAGATGGGAAATTAAGCTAAATTCCTTCCTGATTATCCCAACTGCTGGCCCAGCACCCCCAAATAAGTAATACAAATGCATAAAAGGATGAAGATCAAAGAGGGTGATGAAACAAGTGAGCAAGAACAGGGAGGCTGAAAGAACAGCAGAAACAGGAGGATAAAGGCAAGGAAAAAGCAAGAGGGACTTCAAGAGGCAAAGAAATATATTAGTGTTAAACTGGTTAAATGGCCTCAAATTTGTAGTCAGTCACTAATCCTGAATATGATTAAGAAAAAGAACAAGAAATAATCCTGCGAGTTCTCATTTGGGGAGTTATTATCCTTTTTTTTCTCCATTATGGTAGAGATATCATCCAGAATTGGGTTGTCAGTCATTGCTAACTGACTGGACTGAGTCTGTCAGATCTGTGAGGACACTCCCCTGTCGCTAAGGGTGCCCCAGAAATTGACTCACAACATGTTTCTTTTCTTTTTTTTTCAACAAATTTTATTCAATTTTTCACATAAAAACAAAAAGCTCTTTTTAGTGGACAACATATTTCTGGGTCATCACTTTTACATACAAATATAACAAATATAACATATATTCACATATGCATACTTAATTCTATTATTACCTTTTCCATTCCAAACTTTCAGAAACTTTCCTTCTTTCTTCTTCCAGTTTTCTAAAGTTCTAAATTGTTCCAGTCTATACCAAAAACGTCAATCAATCCCCCAATCAGTCTTTCCTTGCTTCTTTCTTTATTCTGGTTCAGCTTTCATTTTCTAAGATTCTTACTTTGTTTCAATATTTCTTTAGTGTTATATCAACACCAGTTCATACAGAAACAGGATGCTTTCCCTTTTGTTTGAGTCCAAGTTTTTGCCAGAAGATGGCACTCTCCGTTATGCAAAGTCCTCACCTTTTTCCCTTGTTTTTTTATTTAGGGTGTTTTGAACCGCAATATTCCAGCATAATCCAGTCTCCAAATTGTAAATAATAATAATAATAATAATAATAATAATAATAATAATAATAATAATAATAATAATAATAATAATAATAATAATAATAATAATAATAATTGTTATTGTTAATCTTAAGTCCAGCTTTATTTTATGCCTGTTTATTGCCAAAATATTTTTGTCCAATTTAATTAAATATTTAGTTCCGGCTTCTTCCTTTCTCAGTTCGAAGCCCCGCTTAGCTGTCAAAATTATTTTCTTATTTTTTTTCCTGTCCCTTTGTATTTTTGCCGCTCACTTTTCTTTTCTTAAAAGTTCAATGTTACCAACTAAACTTTTTGTTTAATTGTTTCGCCCAATTGTCCCGGTTCAGATGTTATCCACCTCTTTCTTCCCTCCTGCACAAATCTTAGTCCAGCTGAGTCCTCCTCTTCGGAGTGGCCATTTTGGACCACCGCTTCAGTCGTCTTCCGGGGGGGAAAAGACCAAGCCCAGGAGGGGAGATGCGGCTCCCCTCAACTTGGCTTGCAAGGGCTTCCCCTTACTCCACCGCCCCACCAAAACATGGTTGGAAGAAATAATGAGACAAAGGATTGAATTAAGACAAGAAATGTGTTTATTAGATATATTAGGATCTAATTACAATAGAAACCTCCAATACAATGGTTTTCAACCAGTGGACCACCATTGATGGTCTGCGAGAAAATTTTGGTAGTCCTCTGAGAAATGTCACTCCCAGAGCACCCCCCACAGCAATTAATCCAGGCTGCATGGGAACACAAGGCTGCGCCAACCAAATGGCCCACGGGAACCCTCCCCACCCACTCACTTCTTACCTGGCAAATTTGCCTGCTAAGCTGCTATTTTTCCTTCCCCCCCCCCCCGACCATCAGCTGTTCTGCTGTGCCTGAAGATTTAGATTAGCTAGAAAGCAAGAAATCGTTGGATTTCTTTTAAGCAGAGCCGAACCTTCCTTAGGAGTGAAGCAGTGTAGACTCAGCTAGTCGATGGCAGAAACACAGATCTCTAAATGAATCTGTGATTCTGTGAGCAACTCAATCTGCCTGCCTGCTTTGCCTGATTTGGGGTAAAAGTTGCTCTTTCTTTTATAAAAAATTCAATATTTACATACATGGTGTGTTGTGAGTTAATTTTGTGAGTTTTCTTTGGTAGCAAATTTTATGGGTTTGCTTGGAAGCAAATTTTTTTAAAAATTCAATTTTTACAAAACAAAAAGAAATAAAAAAGCTCTTTTCGGTGTACAACATAATTCCGGATCATCACTTTTACATGCAAATATGACAATAATTATCTAGTCATTTTCTACTTTCAACGTCCTATCTTATCCATTTTTAACTTAATCCACCAACTTTTATGTAAGAAAAGGAACAAATTAATCCTGTTCACTAATATTACTTTCATTCTAAATATCTTCTCAGTTCATTTCAATTTATTTCAAATATTTCTTAAACATTAACGTTTCTTTTAAACATGACCTTTTCCATAATACTCTTTTCTCATTTAAGTCACTAATAATTCACATATCTTCATACTTGTTAACTTTTAATTCTTTAACCTGTCAGGGTTACAATTTCATCGCATATTCTTTCCATAAATTCTAGATTTATACAAGCTTTTACACACAAAATAAAACATGGATTTCCCCTCCCCTTTTACTAATTTGGGAGTGTCACCTCAGTGGTCTGACTATATCTTATTTCCCTCATCTTAATACCCAATGTACATTTATTTTAATTAGTTATAATAAGAATTTCCTAAAAAAGAACTACATAACATTGTGTTTTTCAGTCAGATTCCGCAATATATTTTTCCCTTTTACTTCCACGTTTTTTTTTTATTTATAATACCAAAAGAAAAATAACAGAAAGAAAAGCAATTAATCCATTTAGTTAGTCCTGGTCACTGATATTAATCTCATTTTAAAACATCCTTGCAATTCATTTCAATTATTTCAATATATATAATAAACATTAACCTTTCTTGCAACATTAAAAAGAACATACATTCATCTATTAAAAAAGAAAAAAATATCAGTGCCCTTCCCCCTCTCAATGATCTATATTCCCCTATTAACTAAATAACTTGTAATTGCAGATACATTCTTATTACCCCTCATATCAATTATATTTTCCAGTTTAAATTTTTGTCCACAAGATGGCACTCTCCGTTATACAAAGTCCTCACCCTTTTTTTCCTCCCCCTGTTTTATTGTTAGGGGCTTTCTGAGCCTCAATATTCCAAAGCTATCAAGTCTCCAATTTGTATATTTCCCCCTTCTTTTTAATACTCTTAAGTCCAGCTTTAGTTTATGCCTGTTTGTTGCCAATGTATTTTAATTCAATTTATTTAAGTTTCTTGATCCAGCTTCTTCCTCTCCTGGTTCGAAGCCCCATTCAGCTGTCAAAGTTTTTTCTCTCTCTTTTTTTTCCTTCCCTTTTTAATTCCGCCACTTTCTTTTCTTTCTTAAAAATTCTTAAAGCATCAATCCCGGGGTACCTTTTATTTAGTTGTTGCGCCAAATTGTCCCGGTTTTTATGTTGTCACACCTCCTTCTCCACTCCTGCACAAATCTTAGTCCAGCTGAGTCATTCTCTTCAGGGTGGCGATTTTGGACCACCGCTCGGTCGTCTTTGGGGGGGGGGGGGAAATGCCAAGCCCAGGGGGAGGAGATGCGGCTCCCCTCAACCTGGCTGGTGGCTTCCCCTTACTCCATCACCCCTCCGACGCAGCTTCAGCCTCTAACCACAATGATTGGGGCTCTCCAATGAAAGACCACAGACCGAAGCTGTGGACAGTCGCAGTCCCCGGTCTGTCAGCGAGGAGGGCTTAACCGGAAGTCAGCTTGCAAGCAAATTTTATATGATAGGCTCAGGTAGCCGATCTCACAGATCTCTGAATGAATCTGTGATTATGTGAGCAACTCAATTTGCCTGCCTGCTTTTGCCTGATTTTGGGTAAAAGTTGCTCTTTTTTTTATAAAAATGCAATATTTATATAAATATTTATACTATTTACATACAAGCCATGCTCAGCCAAGTCACATGCCCACCAAGCCACACCCACAAATTAGGCCATGCCCACAACCAGTTAATACATTTGAATCCCACCTCTGCCTCTGTGTGTTTTTGTGTGTGTGTGAGAGAGAAAGAGAGAGGGAGGGAGGGAGGGAGAGAGAGAGTGTGTGAGAGAGAGAGGTTAGATCAGATCTATCTATCTCTCTGCCAACATCAGCAAACCACCGCCAGTCAAAATTCATATTAGTGGTCCTCGGGATTTAAAATTATGAGTGACCCCTGCTCCAATATATGACACTCCATATAGTAACTGCTGCCATAATCACATTTTCTCAAAACTAGAAGCAGGATACCATCCTCTCCAAGGCAATATAATAAAAAAGATCCTTGAATGTGCTGAAATGGACAGGCTAACAATGGTATTGAAAGACAAAGAAGAAATAGAGTACTATAAGATACGGAATGTTTGGTGGTTAGAAAGAAGATACAAAGGCATCCTGGTATCCTGCTTCAATTGATAGTAAATATGAGAAAGTGTTATTTAATGTTATATATGTGTATGTGTATAAGTTAAGCTGAGAATGATATAAGTTAAGCTGAGAAATAAGAGGAAAAGTGAATAGAATGGAGAAGTAATCGATAGTTATACATTTTGTTAATTAGTGTGAACACTGTGACAGAATCATTGTAAAGAGTGGAAACTGGTTTTAAATGTTGAATAAACAAACAAACAAATAAATAAAAGAATAAGATCAGAGAGCAAAGATGGACTCCACTGCATAATTTTTCTTTGCAATGGGATTTTTCCTCATTATTTTCTCCAACAGTTTCTGCACACTTTGTAAACTTGTCCTCTGGACTCACTTCTGAAATAGGACATGTAAGAGGGAATACTACTAGTCCCCCATTCTGTAAAGAGATCATTAAAATTCCTCAGTAGTTTCTGTCTCAAAAATGTGAATTCTGAAGTGTTGATTCCCAATGTAATCGTATCAAATAAATATTTTCTTTTCCCCCACTTTGTAGAGCAGAGAGATTACAGAGAAAGGGATTGCAAGGCAATCTGGGGCTGGGACCTGCAATGTGCTATGGCTATGCAAAACACTCAGTCTTGAAATTTCTTTCTGTCCAATCTCTCCATTCTGTGGGAGGGGGAAAAGGGTCAGGTAAAAGGAGAGATTGCCAAGCGAAATCATTTGTTTCCTAGCTTCCAGCAAAAAGAACGTATCTGTGGCTACTAACTCCAGGTTGCCGAAGCAATATCATTGCTTTTGATGCGTATAAGACTATAAGCAGGAATTTGAGCACTCTAAAGGGAATGGCAAGAAAAGGAGGCAAGAAGCAGAGATAAGTTCCCCCGTAGTGATTGCCAGTACTAATTATGGCTATAAGCATAACTGTGTTTTATTACATTTTATTATTATTACATGTTTACCACAAAAAGCTACACGTGTACATGTGAGTAGTAACCCCACCCCCAAAAAACCCTCTCATTTTCATCCCAGAATGTTGACTTCAGTTTTATTTTTCTTCTCAAACTTGAGCACCAATGTGTATGTTCTCTCTCTCTCTCTCTCTCCCCCTCCCTCTCCCTCTCTCTCTCTCTCTCTCTCTCTCTCTCTCTCTCACACACACACACACAAATGTTTGCTTTTATTTGTTTATTAGAAAGGAAATAGGCAGGATTCTAAAACAATTTGTCACCAAGATCAAGATTTACACTTCTAAAATAAGATTTAGATTGTATAGACAGCAGTGTTACTAAACTTCAATTAAAAATATTCAGCAGTAAAAGAGGAGAGGGGAAAATAGTCTCTAAGTCTAAGCCAGGGGTCCCCAACCACCGGTCCGCGGACCGGTACCGGTCCACGGAACAAGTCCTACCGGGCCGCTGGTTGCTGGGCGCCGCCATCTTTTTTTGATGAAAAAGTGCTTCCGGTGAGCTTTTCCGGGTAGAAAGCTCACCGGAAGCACTTTTTCATCAAAAAAAGATGGCGGCGCCCAGCTGATGCCGGTACCGGGCCGCGGCACCCAGCTGATGCCGGTACCGGGCCGCGGCATAAAAAAGGTTGGGGATCACTGGTCTAAGCGATCAGGAATTGTTAGATTGTAGCAGGACAGAAATACAATACAGATAGTCCTTGACTTATAACCACAATTGAGCCAAAAATGTCTTCTGCTAAACAAGACAGTTGTTAAGTAAGTTTTGCCTCATTTTACAACCTTTCTTGCCACAGTTGTTAAGTGAATCTGGCTTCCCCACTGACTTTGCGAGGGTGATCATGTGACTTTGAGACATTGCAACCATCATAAATACATGCCAGTTGTTAAGCATCCAAATTCTTATCACTTGACCATGGGGATGCTGCAACAGTCTTAAGTCACTTTTTTAGTGCTGTTGTAACTTCAAACAATCACTAAACAAATGGTTGTAAGTTGAGGAAGGAATTGTAAAAAAAAATAGCAGAGAGAGGTATCTAAATGGGATAGAAAAAAGAGGGCAGGAACAAGATCAATCAGCTACTTCACTGTGAATAAGTTTCTGAATCTGTTTCTCCAGCTGCTCAGCCTAGCTATGGCACTAAACTGACCTCCAAAACAAATAAGCAGAAATTGACAGTGCATTTCAAAGTCAAAACTGAAATATTGAAATAAAAAAATGATCCTATCCCCTAAAACAACTTGGAAGTAAAAGCAAAATCTTTCATCATGAAGCAATGCAAGGACACAAACAGGAATTATCATACAGTTCCAAACTAGGCATAGCCAGATAGCCACCATAGTGTTTTCTTGCAGTCTGGGGCATGGCAGCATAAATGTTGTGCTCTCCTCATTACTAATCCGTTTTGTCTCAAGACCTGCAAGTGGTCCTGTTCTTATGGCTTTTTAATGTGAGACAAGTTAAGGGAAGTGAATTTTCACAGCTTCAAACTCAGCTAACATCACAAGGAAATAACAGCATGTCTAGCAACTCTTGGAAGCAAACAAAGAATTGCCAAAAAATGGAGAAGGGTAGGAAAAAAGAGGACATCCGCACCAACTAGTAACAAATAGCATGGCCATGTAAAACCTTGCTGGTTACACAGCCAGCAACATCTAGCTGACAGAAACCATCACTGGCTCCAGGTTTAAATCAAATATCTAAACAGGATGCTGTTTTTTAAAGAAAGCACTAAGACTCTTTCAAAACAGACTAAACTCGTATTTTGAAGAGGGGGAAAAAAGGAAATCTAGTGCTCTCAAATGAATTTTAAACTGATATACAATTAGGATGCTCCATTAAAACTAGAAAGGGCTTCAGAAGGAACCAGGTTGCCATACCAGGGACAGGTGCTTCTGTTCAAGCAAGGCTCTATCCCCAGCTGAAACGGTCATGGACAGCAGCAGCAACCATGGAAAAGGAGCCTCAAACAGACATTTGGGCTTGGAAGCTGCCTGAGCTGTGGGTCGGGGATGAGTGTAAATGTGATCATGAACTCATAGAAAAAGTATTATGTGTTCATGCTAGTTTGGTGGTGAAGTTGAGCCCTAAATTTTAAATAACTCATTCCTAATCAATTGAGGGGGGGTATCTGTGAGGCTTGTTTTTTTTCTCCAGCTCATCCTGCCCCAATGCCACTGTTTCTGTTCCTCTGCCACGTGTGCAATTACAGAAAATAAGCTCATTTGTCACTGCCAAGAGATGTGCAGAATACACGGAAGGTCAGATCCCTCTTCTTGGAGCCACGGCTGCAAATCTTGAGCAAAACGCATGTTGTATACACCCATTTATCATCACTGAACCAGACTCCAAAAAAAAATCCATGAAGCTCTATGCCACCTGCATACAGTCAGAAATCAAACAAGACCTGGAGCCCAAATATCTCCATAATATTTCTAGGGTTTTTTTTTCTCTGTTTGCCAGTTAGTGGAAGCTGTAGCTACTATTATGTTAAAAAAAAATCATCCTCAGTTTTATGTTTGTCTAAGAGAAAAGTTCAGCTGTCCGCCTAAATAGCTTTTAAAAAAGGGAACTACAGATAGTTCTCGACTTCCAACCACAACTGAGTTCAAAATTTCTGTTGCTAACCGAGACACTTGTTAAGTGAATTTGCCCCATCTGCCACTGTTATTAAGTGAATCAGTGCAGTTGTTAAGTTAGTAACATGGTTGTTAAGTGAATGGCTTTCCCATTGACTTTGCTTGTGAGAAGGTCACAAAAGGTGATCAAGTGACCCCAGGACACTGAAAGCGTCATAGATATGAGTCAGTTGCCAAGAGTTTGAATTCTGATAACATGACCGTGGGGATGCTGCAAGGGTTGTAACGGTGAAAAATTCTCATGGCTCACTTTTTCCAGTGCCACTGTAACTTTGAATGCTCACTAAATTAACTGTTGTAAGTTGAGGACTTGGATAAAATTGTATGCATAACTGAAGCAAAAGGCTACACCATTAAGAGACAGTCACTGCTCTTTTGCAGACTTCTAAGAGATTATGCTTCTGGGAGTTGAAGTCTATGTATCTTAGTTGCTGATGTTGAAAAACACTGCTCTAATACACACCCATGCATTATATATTATCTAGGCAACTGAACCACCATTCATAGTGGGAACTGATATGGATTTGGAAACAAAGCACAGCTCAACAAGTGAAAACAGTACACAGACAACCCTCAGTAGTCTTTATAGTGGACACCCTTTCCAATCTAGCAGGAAAGACCATTGCATGTAATAAGACAAAGCAGCAGCTAATAAAATTCCTTGGTATAGACCAGGGCTGTCAAACTCCCGACCCTTAGGCCAGATGTGTCATGTGCTAACCACGCCCACACCCAGTTTAGTGAAGGGGGGGAAAGTGCTAATACATCATGTGATGCCGCCATGATGCCATGGTATAGACTGAAGATAAACCCAAAGCAGGAAATGGGATGTTGCCATTTTACATTTTATTTTGGTATTTGTGGCAAAGCTAATGGAGACTGTCAGTGGAGTCTCTTTGATTAGATGACTCTCAGGAAGATGAAGCCTAACAGAACTTTAATGCTTGACTCTATAAAACTATTCATACCAGAGGACTGGAAAGGTCAGGATTGGCCTTGCCATCATCTACCATTCCCCTTATCTCCTTGTGAGCCAGACACAACATTCTGTGGAACTATGAAAGCTGAAGTCCTACAATAACTATATTTGCAAAGCAGAGTTTCTCAATTACACAAAGGAAAAGCTGCATCAGGTGTTATATTCAGCAGGCATGTTAGGAAAACCAACTGGATTAAAATATGTTTCCAGAGAAAAATAAGCACCACCTCAATTTAAAAAAAAGAAAATCAGAAAAAAATAAAGATGTAGAGGTAGATGTAAACAAAGTGCTAATTTGTCACTTAGTGGCTTTTTAAAGTTACCAAAAGCTACTTATGATCCAAAGTTAAAGCTATCCCCTATGGTCCTTCATCCTTATGACTGGCCCCAAGGATGCTGCACACCTATCAACCCCCTATCCTCCCCCACCAGGGAAAAAATTACAAGACTGAACTTTTGTTTTCACCTGATCTCCCACATTTTGACACAACCAGTTTTCCACATCCAGGTTCCAATGTAGTGTCCTTAGTTTTGTAATTGAAATGTATATTATCATACCTTTATATTTCTAAATGTTGCATATGTACGACCACATCTGTAGGGAGATTTTTAAAGCATATTTTCCATTTTTCCCAAAAGGGGTATGCACTTACCAACCAATCATGCTGAAATCTCTATAAAGCATTCTTTTCCCAACTTCCTTTCGCTGAACTCTCCTTGGAAACTCCAAATGTGTAAACTCATTTCCCAGCAAATGGGGTTGCATATATCCCTGCAAATTAAAAGAGGACATTGACTGGGCAATCATCCCAGAAATCCATAGTTACAACTCACATTTCCCCCTTGTTTCATCAAACTATCCCAAAACCCCTGTTACACCTTTTCATTGTTAAGCTTACACAATTGCTGCTCTTTCTTCTAGCATTTATGATCGGGAGAAGCTGCTTATACATTTGATCCTCTATTGAGCAGGGCAGAGCGTCACAATTCAGTAATACTAATTTGTATTTTCTCATCTTACATAAGAGCTGTGGGCAGCGTGCTACACTAATAGATTCCGAATACCCTCAGCTTTTCTTGGAAGATGAAACTATTGGAAAAGTGGTATCTAGACTCAGTCTCACTTGACTGCCCAAACAGAAGTCTCATTGCCAAAACAATTTGTATCAGCCAACCCCAAATATATGAACTTTCTTTAATAAAAATGAATGGACAATTTAAAAAGTATACATATCATTTGCTTAGTTAGTGGAAAATCCATAAACTTAATAGGCAAGAGATTTCAGCCTAAAACATTTTTTAAAGAAATTAATGAGAGCTCTTGGTAAGTTGTCGTTTTAAAGCTTTCATCTTCCTCTGCTTTCTGAATGCTACTGTTTTTACTCTCACAAATCTGGTAAGACAGTTACATTTTTCTGGTCTTCAAAAATGTTTCTTTTACAAAAGAGCAAAGTAAAAGACCTATTTTGTAAAAACATATATGCTACTGATACTGAAATCTGACATGGCTTCAGTGCAGAGGTGGTATTCAGCAGGTTCTGACCAGTTCTAGAGAACCAGTAGCAGAAATTTTGAGTAGTTTGGAGAACCGGCAAATACCAGCTCTGACTTGCCTTGCCCCATCTATTCTCTGCCTCCCAAGTCCCAGCTGATTGGCTGGTTCTTCTTTTGTTACCCTGCAAAGGATCTGGAAAGAAGGTTAGTAGGGTGGGGAAGGAATGGGATTTTGCAGTAACCTTCCCCCAGGAGTAGGGAGAGAATAGAGATTTTACAGTATTCTTCCCCTGCCATGCCCACCAAGCCACACCACGCTCACAGAACCGGTAGTAAAACATTTTGAATCCCACCACTGTTTCAGTGGATTTTCATTATAAATTTAGTAGCATGTAGATCAGTGGTTCCCAACGTGGGGCCTACACCTCACAGGGGGACAATTTGATTTTTTAATGGGGGGAATTAGAAAATGAGCTATTAACTGAACTTTTGAAAGCCTGTTCTAATAAATTTGTGATGAAACAGCTGTGTTTCATTTACCTATTGTTGTCTTTGTTAAAGTGCACTTCCTAGGGCCTGGTCTGAAAGGGATATCCCAGCAGGGGGAAGGAGGGAGCAGCTGCCAGCCAATCAGATGTGTTCCCACTGGGAGGCGGGGCCAGCTGTCAGAGAGAGCGGCGGTGCAAGCGATCTTCTCTGCTTCGCAAGCCACTTTTCCTATGCCCACTGAGCTCGCCGAAGCTGATGGAAGTCTCGAAGGGATAGCTGAAGGAGTGGTGCATCCTGCGGACCATTTGCAATCGGCAGCTGGCAGCGAAGGGCAGGAGAAAGCAGGATCCGAGCGGATCGGGAGAAGGCGACCAGCAATGGCCACCTAGATGATCTGATGACTGGACGGAGCAAGTGATTAATGAGCGGAACAATGGTGGTCTGAATTTGACGAAGATATTTCCCTAGGCTTATTGAGTGAAGCGGTGGAAGGGAGCGCGTATAAGAGATCAGAACCATGGAGCCTGGTGAGAGGTGAGAGCTGCGAAAGGTTTGACAGTAGCGGCGAGAGTGCTGGACAGTGAAAGAATTTGTGGAAAGGAAACCAGGAAATAATAAGAACTGAATAAAGCTGGAAGGGGCAAAAAAGAAGAGATACATAAGATAAACTTTGTAGAGCTTTAACTTTTTGGTGTTACATAGTCTGTGAATAGAAAAGAAACAAAATAGAGACTTGGAAATTTTGAAACTGTGATAATATGGAGTCTCTATAAGAACAATGACTTTGCAATATAGAGTGTGACAACTAGAGATAATGTCTAGGATAGAAATCGATATAAAGATCAAAGTAAATGTGTACATAGCTGTATATATGTATATAAATGTTTATATTGTTTGGTGATATTTTGCTTATATAACGATGTAAAGACTGAGATATATGTCAAAAAGACCACCACGTTCAATGTTTTTAAAGCTTAATTTCAATAAAAACTATCTGAAAAAAAAGATGTGTTCCCACTAAGGCAGTGTCTTTCTCTCTTTCCTGTGGGCTTTGCTGCTGGGTGATTGCAGGGAGAGATATAAAGCAGCAGGCCTAACTTGGATTAAAGAATGGGTAAATTTAAGAAATAAGAGAATTCTATTTTTAGAAGGACATGATCTACAAGCGGGGTTGCATGCCTTCATGTGGAATTCCAGGGGTAAGCCCATACATATTTTTATATACATATGCTAAGGAACTCTTTAATATGAATAGGGGAAGAAATTAAAAATAAAAATTATATGAAAATCCCAGGATGGGTATTATGGAGGCAGTGATCCACTCCAATACATTAGATTTAGGAAGAATGGCCAGATATTATGAAATTTTGGACCCCCAAGGAACGTTAAAGACCAACCAGGAACTAAATGATCTGGGACTAAATATAGATTGGATGCCGTACCTTCAATTAAAATCAAAATATAAAAAAAGACCAAGAGGAATTCGGAATTGAGATAGAACCAAATCAATTAGATAAACTAATGACAGCTACAGAGGAAAAATTGATATCAAAGATTTATAATTATTTATTAGAATATGACTTAGCAGAAGAAATAGTGAAAGGACCGATGATAGCGTGGGCCAGGAATTTGGGACATAATATAGAATTGGAGGATTGGGAAAAGATTTGGAAAAAAAATTATACAATAACAAAATCAGCGGCATATAAAGAAAATCAATATAAAATGTGCTATCGGTGGTACCTAGCCCCTTCAAGATTGGCTAAAATGTATCCTAATTTAAATCCAAATTGTTGGAAATATAAGCAAATACAGGATACCTTCTTTAATGTATGGTGGCTTTGTCCAAAAGTTAAGAAATATTGGACCAAAATATGTAAATGGTCAAAAGAAATTACAAAAGTCCAAACAGAATTTAAAGCAGAATTGTTTCTTTTGGAAATCATTAAAAGGAATTATATAAAAGAGATAAAATATGTAATCCTGCGTATTATAACAGCAGCGAGATTAGCACTCACACAATGTTGGAAAGGAGATTCGATGTTGACAGATAGTTTAATTATCCAAAAGATCTTTGACTGTGCGGAAATAGACAAACTTTCATTAGAATTAAAAGAGAAGGATGATTCAGTTTATTATACAGTATGGGAAAATTTGGATCAACAAAAGAAATAAACAAATAAATAAGGAATGTATAATTTAGAAACACACACACACACACACACAAATAGGCAGGGGTGGGATCCGACAGGGTTAACTACCGGTTCGGTGATTTACGAGGTTTGGTGATTTACGATGTGCTTCCCTGCACGCTGCACGCGCGCCTGTAAATCGTCATCAGCCTGGTGTCTGGACAGCTGAGCAGCGCTGCGTGCCGAGAAGCAGCCTTTGAAAAAGTACTTTTTTCCTGCTTCTTTAACTGCAGCTGTGCCTCGCTCAGCAGCTGAAGTTGAAAAAGCAGGAAATAAAGGTCAGGTAAGAGCCCGGGTGGTCAGGTGGGCAAAAACTGGTTCTATGTCTGCTGTTCTTCAGAGCTACCGGTTCTACAGAGGTGGACAGAACCAGTAGAAAGCCACCCCTGCAAATAGAAGTATAAAATATGCACTGGAATAACAACTGAAATGCAAGCACTATTAAATTGGATTGTAATATACATAACACTTTTATTTTAAATAATTGTATTGTATGTTGTATTTTAATGTTTTAATTTTTCAATAAATGCTTATTTTAAAAAAGGACATAATAGGATTAGCCATCTACCCATCTCACCATATGGCACCTGGGAAGATTACATCACCCAGCAAGATTTAACCAAGCCTGGGACTCAAGACAACCTACAAAGTTATCCCTGCATGGCCCCATGGGAGTCTGACAACAAATCAGAATACATTTATTTCACAGGAACAGGAAGCAAGTTCAAAGCCCAAGAGAGGGTATAATTATATCTCACTCTCTACTCCATGTAGTCAGCTACCCAGAACTTCAAACCATGTGGTCCTGTCCACCATTAAACCATCTTTCCAATCAGCCTCCATGTTTCCAGTGTCTTTCTTCCCACTTAGAACTGAACCCAGATGGACATTTCTTCCAACACCTTGGTTTAAAAAAATCCATTCTTACCATCTACTAATATAAGGATTTAGGTCTCTTACCAGATACTGGAGGCGCTGACGTTCTGTTTCTGGTGTGAATTCTGAAGACATTGGAATGACCTCTCCATTTCTAATTATTATGGCTCTGAAAAATCCAACATATAGTAAGAGTGTGGAGAGCAGTCCCTAAAAAAGATGACTTTAAGAAACTGAAGTATTGATTTGTTCCATGTATTGAATCAAAAAATAAAAGAAGCACATTTGCCTATGCCATAGGAAACATATAGCACAAATCATACTCCTGAACAGCTTTCTGCAGGCTAGGACCTCATATGAGGATTGAAGGGTCTTCAATCTCTGGCTCCACATGACTTATGCAAATGGCTTACTTATTCAGAATGCACATGTCATTTCAGGAAAAAAAACATTTTAGCAGAAATTAATGCATGTCTAGCAGAAACAAAACCATGTTTAGACAAAAAAAAAAAACTAACTAGGTTTCTGTCAACAGAAAGAATGAGTAAATACTGTTTAATATGTAATGTTATAGTTAAAACTGCCTTCAATTTTTTTTAACTACAGTAATTGAAATATCAACAGTGAAGCAATTTATTAACTAATTCTTTCTGAAATAACAAAGTTTGACCATGAATATGAATCTAAATCATATGCTGAGCCAGAGGATACTTTAATTCATAGATACAACAGAGAATCTTTGCATCTTTAAATGCATCTGGAGCTTCTAATTAATTTGACAAAAGAGGACAAAGTCACAACTAACTCAAACAATGTTTCAACAGTGGTTTTGTTTATGCAATTTTGGCATCATTAAAAAGATTTCTCTGAAGCACAGTAGCACATACATTATTTTCTTATCAACTGGTAAAATAAGGCACTGCCTGATACCTATATAGTAACATACTTATATATTCAGATGAATTTTAACTTCCTTACATAATTTCCTTTTTTAAACCATCAGTGTGATGGGTTAGAATAAGAACCCAAGTTAAATGAATTATATAACCATGCTTATGCTTCATATGTGTGTGTTTGTGTGTCTGTATATATATATATGTGCAGACCTGCATGCTTAAAATCCTTCAGAATGAACTTTTATTATTATACAAATCTGTGTCTGATAGTGATTGATTAAAGTTCACATTTACGAGGGGGGAAAAACAAACAGAAGATTTGAAGCATTTGCTTATCTGCTTTTTAGAATAACAATTACAGCCTTGCTATAAGTCACTTACCAAAGTTGTTATGTCTCTGTTCTAGGAATGTGTTTAATGTTTCACACCATGAAGGTACAGTACTTACAACTCTGTTAGTTTCCTTATCAGCAGTGATACAACTGTTTCTTTGGGATCATCTGCTAGAGAAAATTGATGCTCAAACTGTTTTTGATCAACATTTTTATAAGATCTATGTAACCTTGTGGCTTTGCTATAACTTATATAAATAATTTATATAAATCTTTGCTATAACCATGATGGTGAACCTATGGCATGCGTGCCAGAAGTGGCACGCAGAACCATTTCTGCCGGCACGCAAGCTGTTGCCTGGAACAGATCCATTGCACATGCACCCCCCATCAGCCAGCTGATTGTCAGGTAACTGCCTCACATGCATGCGGGAGGTCACATGCACATGTGCAGAGGTGTGTTATGTTCGGGGGAGGTTACACACTCATTGCATTATGGGTACAGGCACGCGACACCGAAAAGGTTAGCCATCACTGCATTATAACCTAATAGTTTTACATTAATAAAAGAGTTGTTTGCACCCTTGTTGACTATTTGGAACAAAACGTTTGATGGTTCTGTGATCATGCCTCAATATCTTAGTAATTTCAAGAGTGCTGCATTTCTTCTGGTTGATGTCGTACAGAGAATGGCTGGAAAATAGAGGAGCTCTGCCGGGCTCTGTGAAATGCAGCCGGCAACTGCTTGTTGGGAGACCCTGTGGGGTTAAGTAACCCTGGAGGGGTGATGAAGAAAAGAGAGGTGCTTTGTCGATCGTGAGGAAACCACAGAGGAAAAGAAATTTTGTAAGTATGATTTTTCTCCACTGACTCCTACAATTAAATACATTGGTTCTTGATATGCATCTACTAACTATTTGCATAAATAGCCAAACATAAATGTTAGTATTTTCTAGCAATGGCTTAAAAATTATACTGTAGTAAATATGTCCATTCTAATATGACTAGTAGTAATCATAATATGTACAACTAGAGAAGTACTTTCCTGGATTTCTTTTTAAAAATGTATTTTATTTGGATTTACTGACTTTTGCTGCTGTGTCAGGCCACTTCCCTATTGCCATCTGGATTGCTCTAACACTGCAGTTACTGAAAGCATTTCCTTACACAAGCGTAGAAGGTCTACTCATTTTCATAAGTTTAGTATGTTAGGCTCAGATGAAGAAAACAGTCAAGTAAGTATTTTTCTTATATTCCTCTAAGAAAATTCTTATAAAAGAAATGATTGATTATGGAGACAAGAGTAAACTTTATATATTTATCCAGAATACAAATCTTTGGCTGAGAATTTTGCTATAAATTCTGCATTATCAGAATAGTTTTAGAGATTGGTAGCCAGTGCATTTGATATACATTTATGCTTAATGCATTGTATTTATGTTGCAATGTACTGCTGAAACATTAACAGAACTATTTTTTTAAAATGCTATTGCACAACAGCAATGCAACTTTGTGCAAACAATGCTAAAATCCATGCCTTAAAAAAGGAATTTAAAAAAAAATCATTAAAAATTAGAGTATACAAACCACAACAGAGAAAGATAGAAGTATTCTTCAAGTGGGGACGGGGGAATTGGCCTAGCCTTCACACAAAGACCTGATTTCATTTTAAGGACACTTTAACATATGAATTTGCCAAATGAATCAAAGTTTTATTGTGAAGGCAAAAAAACCCCAATCACATAAAATATAATTACAAGTTATTTCAGTACTTCAGATTGATGCGTTCACTCTGGATTGCTGGACTATTTGCTTCAACTGCCAAAAAAAAAAAAAAAAAAAGACAAACACTGAAACTTGTTTAACTTGTAATGCAGCAAGAAGAAGTGGTAGAGCATCAAAAGGAAAGGGAAGAAAAATCTTAAGAGATTGTCCCAGAAACTTCAAGTCAGCTAAGACACCGCCAGAAGGAAAGATTTGGCATCAGAAAGTGGCAGAGAACATAACTTCATTCAGAATTAATTTTTGTGAAAAATGGAATTCATGAAAGAAGACAGAAATACATTTATGTTTTAGTTTGAACACATAAAAAAACTTTACTTACAATTTTCCAGCCAAATGACAAATTTAGCTTACCTGCTATCACCTGCATTTGCCACATAGAGTTTCCCCAGTAAATACACCACCACAAGAGCTGTACAACCACCAGATATATTGAAGACAGTTCTTTCACGTTCTATTTGCAAATCCTGAGGAGAAAAAAAAATTACATTGTAATTTAGAAAGTCATTTCAACATGGACAATAAATCTGAGTGATGTTTAGATTGAAAAGTAGACCATGCTAGGTTGCTTCTTCTGCCTTTGGCACACTAGGAAAGTACAAATTAATGAATGCTTAACTCTTGAGCAGAAAAAGCAACTGATTAAGGACGATAGCAAGAAAGCAAAGCACTATTAAACAATTATTTGACACATATACCATGTGATCAGAGTAACAGAATGGACTGTAATAATTTAAATTGCATGAAATGGGAAGAACGGTTCTTGCATGTCCAAACCTAGAAGGTCAAATACTAAGATTTCAATCTCAGTTCATGTCTTGATTCAACTATTTTTCACTAGCAGAAGTAAAAAAAAACTGTTGTTAACTCTTGCGCTCAACAAAACACTATACAAACTAAACACATAGCACTATACAGCATGGTGGTAAAATGGACTATAATGATTGACTGACTGATTTGAAAGAGTTATATACGAATCCCCAACACTCATGATCATATTTGTAGGTAGCATAAGCAATAAAACTAGAAGACTCAGATTACAATTAAAACAGCAAATATACCATTATGATCTTGGTATAATGTCCATGGGGGAAAAGAGATCAGTTTTAAAGCCTTTCTAAAGGCTATCAGAGTTAGGGCCAACCACATTTTAGGAGGAGACTGTTCCAAAACTAAGCACTACAACAGAAAAGAATGGTAGATGCAGTAATATATTATCTTCAAAAAAAACCTGAAAGCCAGAAAGCAGAATACAATAGTCCTCAACTTACCACCACAATTGAGCCCAAAATTTCTGTTGCTAAATGAGACAGTTGCTCAATGAGTTTTGCCCTGTTTTATTACCTTTGTTGCCACAGCCGTTAAGTGAATTACTGTAGTTATTAAATTAGTAATATAGCTGTAAAATAAATCTGGCTTCGGCATTGATTTTGCTTGTCAGAAAGTCACAAAAGGTGACTCCTCATGATCCCTGGATTCTGCATCAGTGGTAGGATTCACTTTTTTTTTTTTTTAACTACTGGTTCTGTGGGCATGGCTTGGTGGGTGTGGTAGGGAAGGGATACTGTAAAATCTCCAGTCAGAGGTGGAATTTGCCACTTCTCCAAACTACTCAAAATTTCTGCTACCGGTTCTCCAGAACTGGTCAGAACCTGCTGAATACCACCTCTGCTCTGCACCCATCATAAATATGAACCAGTTGCCAAGCATCTGAATTTTGTCACTGATCATGGAGATGCTGCAAGGGACATAGGGTGAAAAACAATCATAAATTTCTTTTTTCAGTGCCATTGTAATTTTGGTCACTAAAAGAATGGCTGTAAGTTGAGGACTACCTGCACCCATTGTTAAATTATACTAACAGTTTCCTTGTGATTCCTTTTCTTTCTGTTTTGCAGCAAACAGAAAGAAAACAGAACAGCTTGAAGTAAAAATCACCTCATTTTACCAAATATGAAAAACAGGAATTACTTTTTAAAAGATCATTTTTATGTTAATTTTTCTGCTTCAAAATCTGACAATACAAGAGTTCTGGGAGCCATCCTGACACAAACTAAGTTTGTGACTCACATAAATCTAGGCCTACATGTTGAGCACCTTTGATTAAAGTCATTTATTAATCTGAAATCCAGGATTTTAAAATCGCACAGGGCAATCTACAAAGTAGAGTAGATTCCCCACTGCAGAAATGTCCTTTTCAATGATCAGAAGAATGTGGGGTAGACAACAACTATGTGAATGGTATTAAAGAGAAGCTTGGGGCATGGTGTGTGTGTGTGTGCATTTGCATGTGTGTTCAGAGAAGCTGAACGTCAAATATGGCCCATATTTGACGTTCTAGTTCTACTTCTAGTTCCTACAAATATACCATTTTTTGTACAAAAACTTTTATTTATATGAAATGCCTATAAAAAAGGTCCCATTCAGCCTTTCCATATTCTTACACTAGAAATACAAGATTAGTGTTTCAGCAGGTCCTTGCAGTACCCCCAAAGCTGATTAAAACAGGGTATGGTTTGCAATGATAGTAGCATTTCTCAAAAATAAGATCCAGCACTATTCAACACAGATGGCTTAATAGCATTTAATCAGTTATATGAAAGCAGATGCTACACTACCTAATGAGGCCACCTCCTGATTCATGTGTGAACTGTGTACTTTTTGATGAAGCCAAGATATCAAGAACCAGAAGTTTCAGAGACTGACAGAGTCTTATTATACATGTACAGTGCATTCAGAAAATATTCAGATCCCCTTCACTTTTGTCAATCTTGCTATGCTACAGCCTGATTCTACAGTTATTGAAATTCATTTTTTCTCATTAATCTACCCTCAGTACCCTATTTTGACACAGTGAAAAACACAATTTTAGAAAAGTCTCTAAATTTATTAAAAAGGAAAAAAAATGAACTATCACATTGGCGTAAGCATTCAGACCCTTCACTCAGTACTTTGTTGAAGCACCTTTGGCAGCCTCGAGTCTTTCTGGGTATGATGCGAGAAGCTTTGAACACATGGATTGGGGAATTTTCTGCCATTCTTCCTTGCAAATCCTGTCAAGCTTGGTCAGGTTGGATGGTGACCATCAGTGGACAACCATTTTCAGGTTCCTCCAGAGATGTTCGATAGGGTTCAAGTCAGGGCTCTGGCTGGGCTACTATAGGACATTCATAGCGTTGTCCCTATGCCACTCCTGTATTGTCTTGGCTGCGTGCTTAGGATTATTGTCATATTGGAAAATGAACTTTTGGTCCAGTGTGAGGTCCAGAGCACTGTGGAACACAGGTTTTCATTAAGCGCATCCCTGTAATTTCAACTTTCCCTCAACCCTGACCAGTCTTCCAGTCCATGCTATTGAAAAACACCCCCACAGCATGATGCTGCCACCACCATGCTTCACTGTTGGGATGGTGATGGGCAGGTGATGAACAGTTTCCTCCAGACATAACATTTAGAATTGAGGCCAAGTAGTTCAATTTTGGTTTCATCAGAACAGAGAATCTTGTTTCTCACAGTCTGAGAGTCCTTCGGGAACTTTTTTGCAAACTCCAAGCAGGCTTTCATGTGTTTTGCACTGAGGATATACTTCCGTCTAGCCACTCTGCCATAAAGCCCAGAGTGGTGGAGGGCTGCAGTGATGGTTGTTCTTCTAGAATTCTGTCCCATCTCCACACAGGATCTTTGGAATTCAGTCAGAGTGACCATCAGGTTCTTGGTCACCTTTCTTACTAAGGCCCCTGATTGCTCAGTTTGATCGGGCAATCAGCTCTTGGAAGAGTCCTGGTTGTGCCAAACCTCTTCCATTTGAGAATTATGGAGGCCACTGTGATTTTAGGAACCTTCAGTGCAGCAGCAATTTTATTGTAGCCTTTTCCAGATCTGTGTCTTACAATAATCCTGTCTCTGAGCTCTGCTGATAGTTCTTTTGACCTCATGGCTTTTGCTGTGCTACAATATGCATTGTCAGCTGTGAGGCCTTCTATAGAGGCGTATGTCTTTCCAAATCATGTCCAAAAAATTTAATTTATCACAGGTGGACTCTAATCAAAGTGTTGGAACATTTCAGCAACTATTAAGAGAAATGGACGACACCAGAGCTAGATTTCGAGTGATGTTACAAAGGGTCTGAATACTTATGCCAATGTGATCTTTCAGTTTCCTTCATTTTAATAAACTTACAGATTTTTGAGATGGTTTTTAAGATGGGACAATGAATGAAGAACCTTGGGGGTATGGAGAGAAATTTGAGAGTGAAGCCTAGCCTACTGTGTTCAGGACCCATGCATCTGGGGTGGTTTCTTCCCATTGAACCACAAAGAGACTTAGACAGCCACCAATGGGAGGATTGGAATTGTAGTCGTCAGGCGTGACAGAAGGGACGATTTCCACTACCTCGAAATGGCCATTTGAACTGGAACTGCTTTTTGTTTCTGTAGCCGGCCCTGTCGGATTGGCGATCCTGACATTGGAAATATGTCCTTTGTGCATGCGAGAAGTCAGATACAGCATCTGCTGGTCTGAATGAGGACCTTCAAAAGTAAGGCGAGGGCCAGCGGTCAGTGCACCTGGGTATGGAGGGTAGGACCTTCTTTTTGTCCTTGGTCTCTATGAGGATAGCTCTAAGGCCTCTCGAAATAGCTTGTCACCCTTGAAGGGAGCAGAGGCTACAGTAGTCAGCAGGCTGTGAATGCCCATTGTCACTGGACGACATCCAGGAATAATTTTAGGGAGGGAATCGCCTCGTTATCTGTGGCAGGCTCTGAAAACAGTAATCATTTGAGTCAGACAAGCCCAATGCTGAATCTGACGTGGATGGGTCCGCTCCTTTGTGAGCTGTGGTCTTGGCCTTGTATAAAAGAGTCTTAAACAAGGCAGGGTGAAAGAGCCTTGTGAAGGCTGGGGGGCTCTGGAGCTACCCCTTCATCCTCAGACATCAATTCCCTATGTTCCTCCTCATCCAAGAGATTCTCGGCTTTGCATGGAAGAGGTAGGGGAACTAAACCTTTGGAGGACCGACAATTCTCTTGGAAGCTGGGGTGCAGAATGCTGCCCCTGGTGATTTCATGTTATCAGATGCTACAGAGGCTGTCTGGTGGTTTTGCTGCAAGCTTGCAGCAATCCCCTGGGCAATAGCCTCTTAGATCAAGAGCCTCATTTGAGGGGAGATTTCTGGTTCTTGAGTTTCTGTTGGATGGAGTCCCGCCACTGTAGGGGTAAAGTTAGCCTCTGGGGTATGCTTTATCCTTTTTGGAGCTGGTTCCCAAAGCCCCTCTGCTGGGAACAGATTAGAAAGGGGAGAAAGGAACATCTCATTGCTGTCTGTCACTGAAAACTGTGGCTGAGAGGGTTGCTCTCGAGTGCCATCTGGTGACCAAGACTGGGAGCTCAAGGTATTAATTTGCCTGGCCTCACTCAGAGGCTGTAAAATTTCGGATCTAGGGAATGGAGATCCACTCACCCTTCTCCGCACCATCGTGATGTCACCACTGGAAGTCCGCTCTGCCTCCTTTTCAGCTTTAGTGATTTCCTTGCCTAGGGCCTTTTGACGCCTCTGCACATCCTTCTCCTTGGCCTTAGTGACCTTTTTGGAGAAAAGGACTTTTGCCCTAACTCGGGCAGCTGCTCCTGTGACAGCCGATTTCGGCATTGAGGAGCATTTCTTTGGGGCCTGGGGCCAGGCTGGCCCTTCGAATAAGGCAGACTCGTTTCAAGTAGAAACATCGCTGCTGCGGCTGATTGATTGCCACCAACGAGTATGCACTGGAGACCAGGCAATGACTCCAGTCCCCTCCGCAGACTGCGGGAAATTCCAAGGGACCTTGGCTTTTTTCACTGGACTGAGCTGGAAAATGGTCAGACCGGGAAGACTGCCTGTCAGTTCATTTTCCCTGCGAACGCTGGAGAAAGCCAATTGCCTTCCTGTTGCCCAAGTGAGAATCCAAGGAAGGGAAATTCTGTGTCTGTTGCTCTTTGAATTTGAATGTTGGAATTGATCTATAAGTGTCTATTCGAGCTGAAGACAGAGTCAAAACTGAGAATGCATGTGCAAGAGGCATGGCTACGAAATATTGACAGACTCAGTCTAAAGAGTAGAGAGGCAGAGTTAACCCATTCCTTGGATTCTCCTCAGCACACTGGAGATTTTTAACCTTAAAATTATTGAACCATTTCCTGACATGTTCTAACTAAAGCAGTGCCAATCCACAGAGACTTCAACATGTATGTACATAATGGATGAAGAGAATATTGATAAAGGTTGTGGATAGTAATTGAATAGAATAGGAAAGTGCAAAGAGTTTTGAAACTTTTTCAATTTGAAACACTCCATTTTGAGTGCAAAATGATTGCCTGAAGTACAGAATGGCTGTTCTTCAGCGTTCTTGAACTCAGAAAAAAAAATACAAAATATTCAAACAGTCCTATTACACACTCTGAATAATTCTGTGTTTAAGGCAGGGTTTTCAAAACTGTGCCACCTGAGACACTTCGCACCCAATTAGAATGAAATAGAGGTTAATTGAGAAATAGAGGTTAATTGAGGAGTGCTTGGTGCTCTCTGAGACTGGTTGTTTTCGTGCAGATGGTGCTCTTAACAAACTCACCACAGGTCACATTTGAAATTATATTTTACATGATCTTAATAGAAAAGCACAAGGCAAAACTATTGTATTCTACAAGTTCTATTAAACAAGGCTTATCTCATAATTACAATGACCTCCAGCCAGGATAAAAAAGAAACAATGGTTTTCATTGGAACACATATAACATAGACAAATGACTAACATTGACAATGGAAAGCAGTCTGTACAAAGGACAAAGAAAAACAAAAGTTAGCAAAGCTGATTTTCATATTGCAATTTTTATATTTATTTAGTAAATGTTTTGCCCCCTTCTGGGAGCACAAAGTAATGTTTCCCCATAGCAATATCCAGTGAAGAAAAAGCCCTAATTTTAAACAAGCGTATCATTAGCTTTCTCCATGTAGCTACTTTCATACATCTTGCCTTTCATTAGAGAGAAAAGGGCAAATCCAATGTCACCCACTTTAGGAAGATATAAGGTATAATCCATTTATGTGTTTTGGCGATGATCATCTGGTTTACAAATGTACAGTCAAACACTTATTATATGTTCAACATTTGAAAATGTATTAGATCAGCAATGTATTTAGATATCAGTTCCCATTATCCAAGTATATTTACCATTACAGATAAGAGTTATTCTGAAGACATCCAAACCACCAAACTATACTTACCATTTCCCTGAATGCAGTTTCAATAGCTCCCATGACAAGGCATTCCTGCGAGATTTTTTTTTCTGTAAAGAAACGAGTAGGTGGAGTGCCAGGTGAACCAGGAGTTCCAACGCTTCCTCTCAATGAGGCTGCCCGGGTTAGAGTTCTGCTGCTGGCATTCATGCTTTCTGGCTCTTCCCCCAGGCAGGTTGGTGGAGGAACAGCAGAGTTTTTCAGGATGTCTACAATCTCCTGCAACTGCTCTACAATATGATACTGCAGCAACTTGGAGGCTACCACAGCTGCTCCAGATCCAGCATGGCCATCAAATAATGACCAATAATGAAAAGAGATGCTATCCGATTCCTATTTAAGGAAAGAAGAAATATATTTCATTATGACTCTCGCATTAGAATAAAAGCAAGCTCATACATTTCCCCAAATGACTGAGGTAATTTTGAGGGAGAAGAATATATGGGGAGAATCTAAGCATAACATAACTCTTGATCTAGTTCTACAATCTACTTTGTTTTCTGCTTGTACAAGAATATTTTGTGAACAAACTCTGAAAAACATTCAAAGTTATTCTTATCCACAAGGGCAGTTTATTTTGCATAGGAATGAATATGTCTACATATAATTTGGATATCTAATCTTAAACTGTCAAATCAGCTCAACTCTATTCAAGTTGAATCAGCAATTGCATTTGGCTCACATCCAATTAATATAGGTGTGTCAAAAATCCATGACTATCTTTTCCTTAAAAACTCATTAAGCTGTTAAGGAACTTTCACTAATAAGTCTAAATACCCCACCTAGAACTCTCACTTACATTGCTTCATTTTAATACCACACAGGAGGAACTCCCACCTCCAGCAGCATGTAATTGTGCATTACTGTACTTTTAGTATAATAATTATGCTGTAAGTACTTTATTCAGTTTCATTATTCCAGACTTGTAGTATGGACTAAAAAAATAAAATGTGTTAACTCTAGAGTAACAGTGCCCTCTAGTAGTATGTTTCACAGCAGCATTGCTCACATTTTAGGAAATAAGATAAACTTGTTAAGAAAACACTAGTTGAGTGTGTGTGTGTTTGTGTGTGTGTTTGTGTGAGTGAGTGTTCTTGTATCAAAATGTTTATAGGTGAACCAACTGTCTTGATGAATCACTGAGAAGACACAGAGACTTACTGAATTCTCTTTCAACTGCAATCCTTCCCCATTGGGCAATGATGATCTCCGCTTACTAGAGGAATTTCTGTTTGGTGTTGAATTAGTTGTTCCGGTTTTCTTCTTCACCGTAAGCACTTCACAACTTGCTTGGTCCTCATTATGTGTACTTTTCCCTGCATTGATCACTCTATGAAGAAGAAAACACAATCAAAAGAATATTTTTAATAATCTAATTTGTTTGTTTTTAGGTATTTAATAACTCCTTGGAATTTTAATGCCCTATTGAACAAAACTCTGCAATTTACAAAATTAATAACACATGAAAGAAATAATATTTTAGGATTTACAGTAATTCCTGGGCAAGGGAACTCAGATTTAAGAGACCCATTTAGTTGCAGTTTGACATTCATAAGGAGTTCTTTCTTTTTAAAACAAAATTTTCATCCAATGCTTGAGAAATCAGATCTGCATGTTTACTTCAGTGTGACTCCCTCAAACATTAACAAGCCATTCAGAAATTCTAAAAAAACGGAATGAAAATACATCCAAAACTTTTGGGTGTAAAATTTTGAGATACCATTTTACAACTGTAAATTATACCCATAGTCTCAGATATGAACACTAAAATAACATTTTAAATGCCAGAAACTGTTAAAATTACCAAACTTTATACAACATTAGGATTCCTCTCTACTATCTTATAGCAGTGATGGCTAACCTTTTCAGCACCAAGTGCCCAAAGCGTGCATCCCCAAAATGTAACATGTGCACATCCCATGCATGCATCCCCCACACCCCATGCACACACACCCACATGCACCCCCCACACACATATGCATGGCAGAGACCTGAAGACCAGCTGGCCGACAGGAAATGCGCATGTGCAACAGAGCTGAGCTGTGGCTATAGCTCACGTGCCCAGAGAGAGGGCTCTGCATGCCACCTCGGGCATGCGTGTCATAGGTTTGCCATCACGGTCTTATATAATTTCAGCTGAGGATTTCAAATTCTAGTGAAGTTTGATAATTTTGTCCATTTGTTATTTTTAATTGCATTATTATCACACAGTCAGATGTTTAGACACACCATATTAGACCCAACTAACGTTTTCAAATTTTTAAATATGGCCCATCCAAAAAAATTACTATTTCAAATATGATTATGACTCATGTATTTTGTTTACTAAAACCTGACACATGAAGCTTGATAGTTCACAAACTTTCATAATAAATGTTCTTAACTTATTTTAAGATATACATTCAGTTATCCAAGTGTTTTCTTGTTTGTTTTGTATTCATCATTTAGTCATAACAATTCATAAATACACTATTAGAAGGCAAACTTGTGATATTGTCCACTGCTACCCTTTCTAGGTCTGTACTCTCTAATAGCCCAAAAGCAATAGTCTGAGTCCTATTTTTATATATTGTAATGGTTATATATTTTCAGATTATAATTAGATGTCACACTGTGCTGTTGTATTTGTATTAACTATCTTTGCTATGTTACTTAATATGGATTACATTTTTGGCAACATTTCTTTAAATAAGCTTATCTGTTAGTTGTATATTAATTGATATGAGCATAACTATTTGTACGGTACTTTTTACCCATTGTCCATTGTTCATAAGTAGCTTAATTAAGGTAAAAAATATTCACAGAATCTTTTCTTTTTTTATGTCATCATATTTAGCATACTTTGTCTCATATAATGGCACCACAGAATACTATGGGCAAAGCTTCCCAAGAGACTTTAGCTATTTTCTGGCTTACTGACATGTGGTACTTTGATTGTCTTTTTAAAACCAATATAGTTACTGTATAACTTCATAGGAACAGTTCCAAGTAGCACCAACTATTTCTTCCTTGATATTTTTAGTATACCAAACTAGAAGTACAGTGAGTTTCTTATTTTTCTTCTAGCCACAAATTTCTTATGCCTCACTTAAAAGCACCAACTCCACTACTAATTTTTTCTATACTTATGCATCAATTCATGCAGACTATACAACAGTTGTCACAATTTAGCCACTAATTTCCCAAATGTTCCAGCAATGTGAATATGGAAAAATATTTGGAAGTCATTTGCTCTGAAGGCAAACATTAGCTTCCACTCCACAACAATTAAGTATTTCTCTCAATTTTATACTTTATGCATTCTACTTTGTTTAGATTTTTTAAAGACTAATTTAAAAAGTATTTTTTTAAAATTAACTTGAAAGTTTTGTTTTGCTCAATTCTTACAAAAATATTAGATTGCAAATACAGTAAGAAATAGGAATTCGTTGTGCTGCACCATTTCAAATGTTCTTTTGATTATTTTTCTTCTTAAAAGCAAAGCTAGATTTTTTTTAGAAAGTGGTAATCTGATTTTTACTTAGTGTGCATAGGTGCCTTTCAGTTTGTTAAAGTTATGCAATATCATAAAACAATAAGTATTTTTTGAAAGCAACTTATTTTCAGTAACTTATTAAAGCATAGGTAGGTAACTTGATGCCTCCCTGACAATTTAAATCAGAGCTTCCAAAATATCTTGTCATTGACAGTGATTGATGCCTACCCCAATGCTCATAGCAATCACAATTCTATGTAAATAATGAAAATAAACCTAATGCAGCATAATCCTTGTGCACCTGAAAACATACTGAATCCTACACAGTATTAAAACATTTTGCATATAAATGATGTTGGAAGTTAAGCCTTTTCCGTGTCTTATTTCAAATCAGGAGAGAAACACAGAACAATAAAAATTTTGAGGCAGGCTGCCATTGGAAAGGAGGTTTATTGGCCCAGAGACAGCAGTGACAACAGCAAGCATTTCTGAGGGCAGCTGGCAAATTGGTCTGATCAGTAGATGAGTTTTTATATATTTTGGGGGCTTTGTAATTGAGATGTCTGGGTCTGGGGCCTTTATTATTTAATTGTGTTGCAAGATTTCTGTTATGGTCTTCAAGGTTCTGACCAGGTCTAAAGGTAAAGGGAAAATGCAGGTCCTAGGTGTTTTTTCTCCCTGATCTAATCCTGTCAGCCTAGTCATGTCAATTTCAGCTCTTGGTCTATTCTGCCATCTATTTGGAGATCACTTTAGCCAAATCCAATTTTACAATTTATATATTGTTTATGAATGAAACTTAGTTTCCTTAAGCTTTGCCTGCTGCAGGCTGTTTTAGTGGAGGAAAGACTGGGGCTGCTTTCTGTTTCTGTTAAGGATATTTTTCTCTTCTTCTTTATGGAAAATATATTCTATTTCTTTTCTTATTCTGTGGAATATTTTATTCTTGGGGGGGGCTTCCTACAATAATATTTATTTCAAATGAGGAAACTGTCTCAACCAAACATGTATCTGTGTACTGTTCTGAATTCATACAATGCAACATAAAATGCACCAGGAAACGCTTCTTGCAAATATACATAATGGTGCTCTTATCCTATATATTTGTCTTTTAATATTTATCTAAACTCAAATTTCTATATTGCATCAAATTCTTTGAATTGACTTCGAATTTACATTTTAAATGCAACATTAATCCAAAAAATTCATATTTTCTGACAGTAAGTCTCAACTGATGAATGGGACCCATTTAAAATAATATTAATAACAAGTAATATTAAGAGATTTCAGGATCCTAAAATAAGAAACACTCGAATCATTAGTTTCATGTTTCATCTTTACAATAATTATGCTTAGAATTGCTCTGAACTCATTAAGCATCATAATAATGATTACAAGATATTGGCCTAGTTCTCTTCCCTATAAAAAAAACTTTTGATGAAGAAGAATTACTTCCATCCACTTAAACAAATGGTGTGTTCTTTCAGATATTTTCTTTGGACTTAAAGCTGTTTAATTTGAACAATATTTTTTTTTTCAAACTGAAGTGATGATTTCCACTGAGAAACCAGATATGTGATTAGTTTGTGTACAACTGGAAATTAGAATATTAAAGCAACTTTACAATTTTTGGTTTATACATGAGTGATACAAAATGGACAATCTGACAACTTCTTTTTCAAGCCTCAAAAACTGGCTTTTTTAACATTTTGGAGGCAATTCATATTTTAAGGAGCAAAATTGGTGTCTTAAGCTTTTGTATCTCTAACATCTCCCCAACTGGGCCAACTTTGGGCCCTGGGTCAACTCACTTGCAAAAAACAATGTTAAAATAGGACTCATCTTGAGGCAGCAGAAAGGTAACACATTTCTGTTCTACATACTGTTTTGTCTCATTCATTCCTTGTTACTTAATACAGTATTTTAAATAATATGTTCATGTACTAATAGAAATTTCTAGATAATTTTCTACAACCTGAAACAGTACTAAGCTATAATACACAATTTGTTTTGAGACAAAGTGAGTATGTACTTTATAATACTATAGAACACTATGGTTTAAAACAGGGGTCGCCAACCTTTTGGACCTCAGGGACCACCAGACTCGTAATTTTAGATCCCAGGGACTACTAACTGGTTCTGTAGGAATGGCCTAATTTGTGGGTGTGGCTTGTGGTCATGTGACTGGCTGGGCATGGCTTGTATGTAAATATTATAAATATCTATATAAATATTGAATTTTTTATAAAAAAGAGCAACTTTTACCCAAGATCAGGCAAAGCAGGCAGGCAGCTTGAGTTGCTCACAGAATCAGATTCATTCAGAAATCTATCTATCTGCCATTGGCTAGCTCACTCTGTCACACAAAATTTGCTTGCAAGCAAATTCATAAAATTTGCTAGCAAGCAAACTCACAAAATTAACTCACAACACACTATGTATGTAAATATTGATTTTTTATATAAAAAAGCAACTTTTATCCAAAATCAGGCAAAGCAGGCAGATTGAGTTGCTCACAGAATCATTGAGTGATCTATCTGCCATCGGCTAACTCAGTCTCTCAAATTTGCTTACCGTGAGTCTGCACTGAATTTGCTTGCAAGCAAACCTTCAGTCCTAAGGGAAGTTCGGCTGTGCTTAGCTAGAAAGCAAGAAATCCAACCATTTCCTGCTTCCTAGCTAATCTAAATCTCCCGGCACAGCAGAACAGATGATGGTCGGAAAAAGGAAAAATAGCAACTTAGCAGACAAGTTTGCTGGGTAAGGAGTGAGTGGGCGGGGATGGTTCCCACAGGCCATGTGAGCTGAGCAGCCTTGTGTTTCTGCGCAGCCTGGATTAATTGTTTTGGGAAGGG